GTTTGCGGGGTTCTCCTCCACTAAGCTGCAGGGTCCAGTCAGGGTGCTGGGAAGTCAGACTTGCCAGGGGGAGAGAGGGGTCTTCCATGAGCCAGATCAGGGCAAGGCCCAAGTGTAAGTAGCAGGACAGTGAGGAGGAGAACACGGAGCCCTGGGGTCACCCTGGGGTGTCACATCCCCACCTGTCCACCACCTGTCGTCTAAAATTGGAAGCCCTTTGCAGAAGGGACTGCCTGTCTGTCCTGTGTTTGGGCAGCTCCGAGCACCATGGGGTCCAAGTCAGGGCTCCCACACAATACCACAATACAAATACCAGCAGCACCAGCAGTGGCCCTACTCTTGGCTTGCAGAAATACCAGAGCAGAGCCAGTGCTGAGCCCCTGGGTGACACCAGGCTCCTGGAGGACACTCCCTGATACAATAACCCCCCTGTTCTATGGCTCCCTTGAGCAAGCTGGGCTTGCTTTTGGGACAGCCTTGGGAGGAGAAGCCAATTCACACCTGAGCCAGGTGGCCATTTCCTCCTGCCACTATGTGAGCAGAATCCCAGGGTGAAAAGAGCTTCTGCTGAGGGTTAAAACCCTCCAGTCCTTTTGAAGAGAAGACATGCCCAGTGAGTCACGCTGGGAGGTGCTCTCCCAGCCCTGCAGGAGCCACTCAGGCCTCCCTCCATGCACAGGCAGATGGAGTTACCATCTTTTATCACCTCCTGGCCACCCACAGAATCCACCTCTGCCTCCACGTGCAGGGGCTGAGATGCCCTCTGTGTGCCCGGTGCCCAAGCAGGGGTGGGCAGAGGGGCTGGTGAGAAGAGACCCAAGGTGCAAAGGCCTTTCTCCAGCTGATGGGAGGGCAGTGCAAGCCCTGAGCTGGGCTGCTGCAAGGTACCTGGATGGTTTTGAACCAGCTGAGAGGAGGAGAGGTGAACAGCAACTCATTATCCAAGAGCAAAGAAACATGGTCCAATGGGCAAAGCCAGGGGCTGGGTGGGAGTCCAGATTCCTGGGTTGCCTGCCCAGCCCTGTGGGGTCTGGTGTTTAGAACTGGGAACTTCAAAGCATGGGTCAAGCCCCTGGACCTGTCTCTGCTCTCAGAGATGCTGCGCCAAGCCAGCAAAACCTGCGGAGCTGAAGGGAAGCAAGAGGGAGGAGGAGTACACACAACGCAGTGTCGTGGCCTGGGCTCCGGGGCTGCTCTGCAGCCAGTCCCATGGGTATCAGAGGCTGCTCGCTCTTTGAAGCGATGCTCTTTCTCCACGGGCTCGGCCATGCAAAGGAGAACACGGTGCAGGCGCAGGCACAGGCATCTGTGATCCCGGGCCAAGCCTCTGTTTGCAGACCAGGATGCCTCAGACACTTGGAGGCATTTTAAGATCAGACGTCTAAACAGGGCCTGGCTTCATCCCAAACGCAAACGGCGGCCCCGCTCCTGCTGAAAACTGAGCCCCTCGGCTCCTCCCAGCGCCAGTGGGGAGACAGAGCAATCCCAGAAAGCATCCCGCCGCCCAAGCCCATCCAGGCTCTTCCTGAGAGCGTGTCTTGCGGCTCCGCTCACCTCCCGGGGAGAGGATGGTCTGCCAGAATTACCAGCGGTTCCTTCCAGTCACAATAAAGTCCAGCGTGCCTTTCCTGTCCAACACCTACTGGAATTCCTTCCCTGCATGCAAATATTAGCACTGCTAACAGAGGGGGGGCCGGTTGCTGACTGACTCGGACATGTCACATTCCAGCCCAGGGCCCGCGGCAGGACACCAGACCGCAGGCCCAGCCCCCCCGAGACGTGAGCTTCAAAATATTGACCGTGAGCTTTATTTAGAGGCTGGACGTATGCCTATGCCCAGTGACCCTGCTCGTTTCCTTCATGGTGTCTGAGCCAAGGGCCTGGCACCAGGTGAACATGCCCTGGCAGCACACGAGAGGCCCGTGAACGTATACCAGAAATGCAGAGCTAAGGGATGCCCCTTCTACCCGCAGTGCTATAGCACAGCTGTACCAGGGCCAAGCCCATGGAAACGTGTGGGACTGGAGCCACAGACACCAGCTCCTGGTGTCCAGTAGCCCTTAACAGTCCTCAGGCAGCTTGTAAATTGTACCAGCCCTCTCTCCTATCCTGTAGCTCCAGATGCGGAGTCCGAGGCACAAAGTGTCCAAAGTTACACTATGGAGCCCAGGAATCCTGCACCCTGATCATGTGACCAGCACTAAAACTCAGCTCTAAAAACGACACTAAGGCACCATTACAGAGCTATTTAGGGCCAAACACTGCTCCTGCTGTCAGGGATAGCTCTGCAACTTGGTTTTAACTTGTTTTAGAAACGGGCTAGACTTCTTGATATTGGCCCTAGAAAGCAGGCTGCTCTCTGAAGAAAAATCCCACTGGGATAGTCCCTCCTGCTCAGGACATGTGCTGTGCTTGTGCCTTTGAAGTGCATCATCTGACAGAGCAATCTTAACCCTGCGAGCCTCCATGCAGAGAGGGGAGAGCCGACAGATCAGCAGCACATTGGATCCAGAGCGCTGACTGCAGAAACACTACCAGGGAGCATGGCAAAAAGCGGTCACCTTGCTGTTCAAGTCCAATAAGCTATCCTAGTGTTGCCAGATCTCATGATTTTTGGCATTGTTCTTAAAGTCTATGCTTTGGGAATGCAAAAAACTTAGCTCTTTCTTTTATATAAAAAATATAGATATAGACATACAAAAGAAAGACCTAAGTTTTTCACGTTCCCAAAGCGCAGATTTTAAGAACAATGCCAAAAATCATGAGAGCTGGCAATGCTGCTATTCAGATGTACACCCGCCTAGCTCGGGCACCCCAGCTGTGATGGCAGGGATGTTAAGTCACCTAAGTACCCAGGATCCCAGAAAACCTCATATTGCTTGTACTGAAGCCTATGGTGCTGTAGCTACCACCCCTGTCCATACCAAACCAGCCAACCAGGCTAAAGGCAACTCAGATGTGCCTACACCTGTTCCAGTCACACCTCTGATCCTGAGATGGAGAGCCACCCTTCATCCCACTGATTGGACTCCCAACGAAGGAATAACCATGTAACCCAATGGTCACTTTTTTAAATCCAACCACATTTTCAAATCATTTCTGACTTGCTCAGGGCCCAATGTTAATTAGCGATCACCAGTAATTAGCCTCACATCATTTTCCAGGCACAGCTGATGCAAAGCATGGTTACAAACTGCTCATGAAAGATGTAGAACCATTTGACTTCCAACAGATGGATAGCAGTTGACCAGAAAGTTAGCCGGATGCAGCTCTCCTTTGCACCAGTGTAAATCCAGCGTGTAATATCACTGGACTCCTTCAAGTGGCGCAGGCTAACACCAGCTGAGGCCAACTGAGACCCGGATCAGTTTTGCTGTTTTGCAGAACATTCAGTAACTTTCCTCTTCGTGATCTAAGTGATGTGTCATTGGTACCGCTGGATGCAGCAGGGACACACGCTGGGACAACATTCTTCTCTCCAAACTATTAAAAATAAAAATAGGGGGGAAAAAAACCCCACCCCAGAACAAAATTCTGCTCTTATGTGCTCTGGTTTTACTTGGAGTAACTTCATTGGCCTCCGTGGGTCGATTCAGCCATGCCAAAGAGCAGGATTTGGCCTGCGTTGGTTTAGCTAAACCTCTGGCTCGTGTTCCGAGATTTTTCTTTCGTTGGCTTGCTGCGCGCAGACGCGTTTCTGATTCTCACCAGGACAGGGCCTGGAGTTCCTATGAGAAGTCTGAAACATGTCATCCGTGCTGCCTTAGTAGCTGAAGTGACAAAAGCTGTGCGTGCTGTAGCAGCCTAGCTAGCCAGGGAGAGCAAATAGCAAGAGGAAGCTAACCTGAGGCTGGAGGTCCTGGATACTCTCAGCCCACCGGGGGCTGGTTTGATGAGATGCTATTACAGAGCTCTGGCTGCAAGGATGCCTGTGGCTCGTCACGTCGAGTCTCCCAGACCAG